ATAAGAATTTTTTTTTAATTTATTTGATAAAATACAAATTAATTATTTGAATTTAAATAAAAGCTTTTAGTATATTAATATAATTACTAGAATATTAATATTTAAAGATAAAAAATTCAATTAAACAAAAGTTTTTACTATATTAATATAATATTTAATTAATATTATATATATTTTATATCTAAAAAAAAAAATTAAACTTATTATCTTAAGTGAAGCAAAAGATTATATATTTCTAATGCATTAAGTAAATTTTGATCATGTAAGTGTTTTTTGTTTGCCATGTGATTTTCATCTAATAATTCGCTTAAACTATAACAGTTCTCATTTTCTAGTATATATATTATGATAAAATTTTTACAAATCTATAAAAGCTTCTTCAATATTATCATTCTCTTTAATATTAAGATTTAATTATTCATTATATGATTATAAAAATTCTTCAATTATTTCAAAAAGTTATTCAAATAATAATAATATTTATATTTTGCAATTACAAAAATTTGATATATAATATGCATAATCACAATTTAAAATAAGTTCATCATTTTCTAAATTATTATTACAATTCTACTAATCACAAATTTATTGTTACGTAGTTGTAATTTTAAATGATAACTTAAAGGAAGAATATTAAATACAAATTTTTTAGCAAATAATTTAAAAAATACATATTCTTTTTTTTTTGTATCATATTTGAATATAATATATCTACTATTTTTCCAAATTTCTGAAAAAATTTAATAAAAATATTGCTATTCACTTAGCCATAAAATCAATCTTTTTTTTAGTATAAGAATAATTATATGTATTAGTAAAATTAGTTCTAAAAATATTATTTCAATTTTCATCAATAAAAATTGCATCTCAATGAAGTTTTTTGATGTTATTGATAGAATTTCTAAAGTATAATGATGTAAATGAGGATGAAAATTTTCTACAGAATATTTATCTAATAAATTTAAATGATTATTAAAATTTTTCAAATTGGATGCTGGTATATATGCCAATAAGAAAAATCTGATAAAAATGCAAATATAACTTTATTATAATTTTTTCTATGAAATTATTTCATAATAGTCTAAAGTCAAAATAAAGTTTCAATATGTTGAAAAAGTAATTGCTTCAAACAAATAATAGTTACTAGTTATTCTGAAATTAAGGGATCAAATAGATTTACTAACTAATATGTAGTTTATTGATCATTTTTTTTTACTATGATTAATTAGTAAAAACTGAAATTTTCAGTTTTTATTATATGTAATCCTTAATTTTTTATCAATAAATTTTATTAATTTTTTTTAAGTTTCTGGGTTAAGACAAACGTTTTGAAACAAATTTTTTTCTGCTATTTATTAATGAGAAGTTAAAAAAATTTCTCTTTAAAGTTGATCACTTTTTTGTTAAACTATTATAACCTTTTAAGTAAATGAGAAATTACAAACAAGTTTGGTCTTTAGTAATATATTTTTATTTAAGATTTTTAGTTTTAAATAAAATAAAATAAAATAATATTAATTTTTAAAAGTTGATAAATATTTTATAAATGAATGTTAGAATGAGAGAGAATAAAAAAAGGATAAAATCATTGAATATGTAAAATATTATTTGAATATATAATCTAAAAATTTATCTTTAAAAAATAAAACTATTTGTATTTTTATGTAAATTATGAAAAAAAAAGGTTAATGTTTTATAAACTATTTTAATATTTCTTTAAATTTTAATAAAGAAAAATTACCTTTTTAACTCTTTCTCTATAACATATATATAAACTTCAAAATAAATTTAATAATAATATATTTATATTAATGGTTAACTTCTCATGTAAATAACTTTAAAAAAAGAACTAGTATTGGCAAAAGGATCTTAATTTAAAGTTTAAAATATCATAAAAAAGCTTTATATATCAAAATATTTAAGGAAGTGGAATATTATAACAAAATTAGTGCTATTTGAAAGTTTATATATACTACTTTTAGTATATTATAAAAAAGTTAAATTTTGTTAAAGTCTTTATTATGTTCAAACCTAATGAAGATAGATCAATTTACATAATATAAAAATTTTAATTAGTGATTAGCGCTATACTAAAAATAACCAGTAACTAATAAGCAATTATCCTACATATATAATGTAGAAAAGTAAATTAATCTGCTAAATTTTTAGTAATATATAACACACTTATTAATTAATTTTAAGTGAAGCATTTAGAATTTAATTTACTAATAAACCTACAGGATTATTAGGATTAAATACTTTTTTCATTACATATTAAAGAAATAACAATATACTATTTTTTTTATCTATAGGTAGCTTACTCTAACTTTTATAGTATCATTCAGATTTTATCATAAAATCAATATAAATACAGTAATTACAATAATGCATATAATCGATTTATCAAATGTTAACTATACTTTTAATAGTGATCTAGATGAGTTAGTTTATAAGTGAAATTATCAGTGATACTGATAAAAAAAATACAATGGTGATTTTAACCCCAGTTAATATTAGTAAACCTAAAATTGAAAATATATTAAATACTATAATTTATTTTATAAAAATAAGTTTATATAATTAAAAATTTTGTAACAATTTAAAAATACAAGCTTATTTTTCTAGTAAGAATATTAAATTATATAGTTTATTTATTAGCAAAGTAAAAAAAAATGTGAAATATTATATAAAAATATATTATTTGCTATTAAATATTTAAATCTGAAAATATTTAATTTAAAAATCATTTTTATCATGTAGAATAATTTTTTTCCTATTGCAAAATGCCAATATGGGACTTTTGTAATAGAAAGGAGGAAACTACTGAAAAAAATCAATTTTACTTTTATATGCCAAATATGATTTTTAGGTTAAGATTTAGCATTATCTCATTTTTATTTTTCCAGACGATTTCCCTTTTTTATTTTTTTTATTACAAATTTCCCATATGATCTATAAATAAGACCAATGATTATCAGATCCTTATTTTATATAACAATTTTCGTCATTTCTGGGGGGTTACTATTTGGTTTACAAATTCTGTTTATTTGTCACGTACTTTTGGCGTGACAAATAAAAATCACCTCGGAAAAAAAAAATTTTCCAAATTTTTTGAAAATAACCAGTGTCACCCGGTGATAAAACACCTAACCGTAACTCTAACTATAACTCAATTAATTATACCAGCTAATCTGAATTGGTAATCCGTATTATCTGGATCAATTACTAAGATGATACAATATTTTATATTTTTGTCACAATTTTACAAAGTTAATTTCAATACGATTTTATTTGTTTTATTGTGCTTAAGATCTTATGAAAAAACTTTTCATTTATAAACAAAATTGGTAATGCCCGGGCTGGCCAGGAATATAGGGATGAGGCGGATTCTCCAGTTGGTGATTCGATATTCATTGCTATAGACATTGGAAGGAAATTAATATCTTGTATTTCAACTATGTATTCAAGTGTTTCATCAATACGGATCATCTCGCCGGATTAAGCATTATTTTCTACGCTAATCCATTATGTCATCTCCATTTTTCTTTACAAGCATGTTATACAAGAAATACAAAAAAACCAGTTTTAAGGTTGTAGATGACGCAATCACGCAGATGACAAAATCTATTTTTTATATAATAAAAGAGTAAAACTGAATACCAATTCTTTGTCCTAGGTAAAAATTTTTGTTTATTTATTTAGTTTTATGATTAAGAAGCATTACATACTAAGATTGCATTTTTAAAATATTTTTTATGCAAAATTAAAAATAAATAAAATGAAAATGAAGGAAGATAATATTTATCCGAAAAGTTCTTTTATTAAGTTTTTTGATGATAAAAGAACCTTTTATTACAAAATCATAAAGGTAGGAACATATCCTTCCACTAATCAGCTTCATTATTGATACAACATTTTATATTTTTATCACAATTTAACAAAGTTAACTTCAATACGTTTAAATACGTTTCTTATTTGTTTAGTGTGCTGAAGTTCTTATGTTTATGAAAAAACTTTTCATTTTTAAACAAAATTGGTAATGCCGGATTAAGCATTATAAATGATTTCCATGCTAATCCATTATGTTATTTCCATTTTTCTTTTATGTATGTACAGCAGCATTCAAAGTCATTGTGTTTCGTCTTACCAAAGGGCGTTACTAATACTTAATTCGGAAGTCCTCACCGAAAACTGCTGCGGCACGTCCTTTTAGCATATCGATCAATGAACCCATAAAAAATATTTTTTAACTAAATAATGATATATAATGCGAAATATTTGATTGAAACAATAGTCGTATAACTTGAACATTACCAGATTTATTTCACGCTCCCTTATTCCTTTTCATCATCTGTTATTAATTCACCATCATAAACCAGAGTTATTTGTTTACCGCATTCTTCGCAAACAATTTTTCTTGGTTTTTATTGTGTAACACACCAAAACTTTATTCAGCGACATTCTAATAAAATTCTCCGTTTTTTTCTAAATAATCGCAATGAGTGAAATGATATTAGCAAAGGGAGTTGTTCTTCCTGTTCTTGCGACCGTAAAGGAATTGGTAACCTTTGAAACATCCATTTCGATATCAATCCAAAACCAAACTACTTCACATACACTCCGACTAGAAAACCAATATTGTAACGGAGATTGTATCAGCCCTCCCGAACCTACCATTAAGCCCTCCAATAAATTTTCTCCTGCGTAAGTTGACCGAGATTTGACATTTCAAAGTCATCATCGATTTGATTTATTTATATTATGTTGCTTTAATTTGATAGAAAATTTGAAGGCATGTTTAAAAAACGTGGAACAGTGGGGATGCTTTGCTACCAAGTTGAAGGTTCAGTGGGGCCTACTAATACACCATATTACCTATTAATAGGTTGGAAGGTAACATCACTTACCTTTCCTTATGTCTCTAAAAGTTTAACAAATAACGATTGTTAATTTCAGGTGAAGAGAATGGCTGCCAATCAATTCTGTATAAGGGTTTTCGAATCTGACGAGCCACCACTCCAAGGAAACAAACAACAAAAAGCCGAATTTTGCAAATCAATAATTAAAAAACACAAACAGTCCACCGACCAACTTATTCGTTGGCCGGCATGTAATGTGAATATTGGTAACAGATTCAGAGTTCACGCTACTATGTCTAGTGTGTAAGTAAATGCTGAAATTCGTTGTTTTTTGAGAATATGCGATTAATCATATTTTGTTATATAGTTCCAAGGCAGAAATGAAAGTTCATATAACAGAAACCGACATTTATATGTCTTCCCAACCAAAAAAAAAAAAAAAATTTCATTTTAGTCGAAATTTATAATTATATGATTTAAGAAACCGACATTTATATGTCTTCCCAACCAAAAAAAAAAAAAAAAAATTCATTTTAGTCGAAATTTATAATTATATGATTTAAGATATATAGTATTGAAAATATCAATTAATAATATTTATTTGAATAAAAATAATCTTTTATCAAAAAATTGTCAGACGTAAATGTTAACTAGCCATTGAGTCTTGATTTTTGAAGATGAATTTTATCGAACTTATATATCATTTTTTTAAAAAAGTTTCTTAAATTGAAAGATACAGCATATAATTTTAGAATCTACTAATTCTACTGATACAATTACAATCTATGATTGGTCGAAATCGATTACGTCATATCACGTGCTTACAAACACGTGTAAAATATTTTGTAAATTTTGCGTCCCTCCAATTTTGATCACAAAAAATTGTCAAATATATAAATAATTCTAATAATAATCATTTTATAAAATTTTAATATTAGCATTAACATATCAAATTTAAATTTTTTTAATTAAAAAATTTTAAATACAAGAAAATTAAATATTATTTATTAAATATATAATATCTCTTCTTTTTTTATACTTTAAATCAACATATATATTTTTTAAAAAAAAATTAAAACTTATTTTGCTATTTAAACTTCTTATTTAATGCTATTTGTAAGATTTTAAGATTATCATAATCAAATTGTAACATACTTTCAAATCTTACAATTCTTGCTCTTTTATTTAAATAGTATTATACGAGAGAAGACATAGATGATAATAATCAAAAGGATGACATCAATCCTTAGAAAATCATATATGTCTTATAAGTCTTCTATATTATCTATTATATATATTTCTTTTATACAATATATTTCTTTTATTTATTTTATTTTATTTATCTATTTTATATTTATTTCATATATTTTATTTATTTCTTTTATATCTTCAATAACTTTATGTATTTCATTTTATATAAATAGAGAACATTTTCTTTTAACTTAGCAGTGTATCTAATGTGTCAAATAGATAATTTTTATAAAATAGTTTAGTTTAATTCTCTTAACATAATTGTATAGTACAAAGAGTTGACTAAGGCAGTATTCTATTATTATCATTATTAAATAAATTGTTAAATTGATCGATACTTTTATAAATCTAATTATAAATTAAACCTTTTACTTATTACTCATAAATTTTGCTTTACTTATCACTCATAAGTATCTTAAAAAACTGATTGTAATAATATAATTAATTATTATTATGCCAATTTCAAAAATGAATATATCTGTCAAACAGATATAAATACTCATTAATTATTGATTGTTTAAATAATTAAAACTAATATAAAAGATAATAAAAGATAATAATAATACATAATTTTTTTTTAATTTTATAAAATCTAGTATAATATCTAAAAAAAAATACAATTATAATTATTTAGAATTCAAACAAACAAAATGATAATTTTTTTTGAAAAATATACTCCTAAAGTTTAGAAATCCAAAAAGATAATTCTTATATACAAAAAGAATTTGTTATACCTATACTATTTTAAAAAAATTTTCATGATTTCATTTATAACTTACTAATTTAAAGTACAAATCTATTAAAATAAAAATCTGTGCAAAAATCATTCTAAAAATATTAAAAAAACAAAATCATTAGTAAAATTTATAAAAAAAAAATAATTCAAAAATTCTTTAAAATCTAAATGGAGCAGAATTCAAAAAATTAGAATAGAAATTGAAAAAATAAAAAATGTAGCAGAGTTCAAAAATTAAAACAGAGATTAAAAAATAAAAAAAATGGAATGGAGTTCAAAAATTAAAACAGAGATTAAAAAGTAAAAAATGGAGTAGAGTCCAAAAATTAGAACGAAAGTTAAAATGTAAAAAATAGAATGGAATCTAAAAATTATAATAGAGATTAAAATGTAAAAAATAGAGCAAAGTTCAAAAATTAGAATGGAAGTCAAAAATAAAAAATAGAGCAGAGTTCAAAAATTAGAATAAAGGTTGAAAAGTAAAAAAGGAATGGAGTCTAAAAATTAAAATAAAGGTTAAAAAGTAAAAAAGAAATAAAGTTCAAAATTAGAACATAGGTTAAAATATAAAAAATGGAATGGAGTTCAAAATTAGAACAAAGATTGAAATGTAAAAAATAGAACAGAATCTAAAAATTAGAATGGAAGTTGAAAAGTAAAAAATAGAATGGAATTTAAAAATTAGTATAGAAATTGAAAAGTAAAAAATAAAGTAAAGTCTAAAAATTAGAATAAAGGTTGAAAAAGTAAAAAAATGAAGTGGAGTTTAAAAATTAGAACAGAGATTTATTTTTCAATCTCCACTCTAATTTTTAAACTCCACTTTATTTTTTTTATTTTTTTTATTTTTTTTTAAAATTTTTTATTTTTTGATTTTTGATTTTTTGATTTTTGATTTTTTTTTTTTGTATTTTTGTAATGTTACTAAAATTGATTAACATATATAATTAATATGCATAAATACAAGTTTTATATCTGATTAATATTATTTGCATATGAAAATCAATCAAATATCTTTACTAAATTAAGTTAAAGTTTAAAATTTATATCTGATTAACATATTGATAAATTAATTAAATAATCTTTACTAAAATAATTAAATAAGATGATTAATGATGTGATTGATAATAATTAAATAATCTTTACTAGTAATAATCTAAATAAATTATATTTTAGTATTTATTTAATTATTATTTTATGCATATTTTTAAAATATGCATTACATATAAATAAAAATTTTATTTATGAAAGTACCATTTCAGATGTTAAAAAAAATAAATTATACAAACGTAAAATTTAAATTGTTCATACAGTGTATCTATTTATTACACAAATTGAAATTTAATTATATTCCTTCTAAAATTATCTAAACATCTTGTTATAAATTATAAATTTAGAATAAGAAATAAGGTATAAATCTAAAAAGATTTATCAAGTTGGTTTCTTTTTTGTTAAAATTATTTCTTTTTGCTAAAAATTAATTTTACAATTTAATTATGAAACAAATTATTAAACAAGATAATAATAATAAATTTGATACTATAGCAAATACTGAAATCTCTCTAAGAACATATAATTTAGTTTTAGAATAGAAAATGAAAAAGTAAAGTGCATATATTATTTGTGAGTATACAGTATAATTATTTTTTATTTTATAAAATATTTTATTTATTAATATTTTAAATATTACAGTATAGAATATAAGCATACTAGTAGAGCTACAAGTATTTTTCATCAGCATTTAAAAATAAACATCCTATTAAATTAGAAAAATTAAAGACAAAAGGAATAATAGACAAATATATTAATAAAATACTATCTATAAATTTAATTTAAAAATTTTTTATATAATTATCAAATATTAAAATTTATATAATTTATATAGTATTTCTTAGCTATATTTCATGAATATATTTCTAAATGGATTGTTTGTGATGATCAACTTTTTTTAACTCTTAAATCAGAAAACTTGCAAAATTTATTTCAGATGTTAAATTCTAATATTAAAATACCTTCAGCTGATACTATTCATGCAGATATAATAAAATGTTTTAATAAAAAGTATATAAAAATTCAAGATATTTTATAGGTAATTATTTTTTTTTATTTTATTTATATAAATTTTAATATTAATATTTATTTTTATTTTAGAATGTCTCTGGTTATATATCATTTACAATTGATATATAAATATCAGCTAATTATATCATCTTTTTAAAGATTACAGCTCATTGAATTTTAAAAGAATGAGAATTAGTAAAAATTTTAGTTGATTTTTATAAATTAAATGGAACTCATTCTGAAAAGAATTTAGTAGAATTTTTTATTAATTGCTGTAATGAATTTAAAATTCTTACTAAAGTATATATATTTTTTTTAATTTTTAAAATTTAATTTACAATTATAATAATTAATTATATTATAGATTCAATATTATATAACTGATAATGCTGAAAATAATGATATCATGATAGAAGAACTTGAAAAAGAATGTCAATTACAAAATATTAATTTTACTAAAAAAAAATAATCATATTCAATGTTTTGTACATATTATAAATTTAGTTACACAAAGTACACTTATTTTTTTAAAAGCTAATTGTTTAGAAAGTAAAATTGAAACACTTTATAATAAAGTAACAAGTAGCATAATTTCAAAGATAATAATATATGTATTTTTTAAATTTTTTAAATTTTTAAAATTAATTTATAACTTATAAATTATATATATAAAGGGTGAACAAAAGTTTCTGGACACCTTTATAAATGTGATTTAACAAATTTTCATCATATAATTGTGATATTATACTGCAGTTATTTGAACGTCTATTATTTATTTACATAATCAAAATAAAATAATTGTGTTATTTTTGTTGTTTTGACTTAATTCACTTAATCTCTACCAAATTGATAAATAATAGGACAAAATAAAGAATTAACCAAAGAACAATACGGAATTATATTTTACTTGACTAGCCCAATGTTCTTATTTTAACCCAATTGAAAATTTATGGGCTAATATTAAAAAAGCATTTGTGCATATAAAAAACCACTATCAAATCTTGCTGATCTTGACTAATATGTTAAAAGGCATGGTGAGAAATTCTAATGCATACTATTGAAAATTTAATCAATAGCATACCACAGTGAATTCAGGCTATGATTGCGACAAATGGAGGCCCAACCAAGTACTAAAGTTTAATATGAAATATATGCCTTAACCAGCTCTAAATAAAATAATATTAGATCTTTACTATTAATGCTAAGAATTATAAGTTTTATATTTGGTGAAAAATTATCCAGAAACTTTTGTCCACCCT